CGGTGCTGCGAACAAGTTGGCAGCCATCCTTTGTCGACCTTTCGATGCCGAAGGGATTTCCACTCGCCTTGACGTTGCGGTGCAGGCTGCGCGGCGGCTTGCTGGCGAGAGGCCCCAACGCCCAGAGGACCTCGCGAGTGGGATGGAGCGGTGCTCCCAGGGCCTGGAGGAGTGGGATAGCGATTTTGACAATGCTAGGAAGGAGCTTGACCAGAAGACCAGGCTCAGCTGGGACCAGTGGCAGCAGGAAGCCCTTTCGGGCTCGGCCCGCAAGATGCACCGCCTGACGAAGTTGATGGCCGAGTGGCAACCGACGGTGATTGAAACCGCTCCTGGCACCTTCTCGGCGGACCCCCGAATGCTCTTGGCGAGGAGAGCTGATGTCCTTTGGGGTGTCTGGAACGCCCGCACCACCCCTGCCTATTTGGAGGTCCCAGATCGATCTTGTCCGGACAGGCTCACCCCTGATGCCATCAGAGCTGCGTCTAAGAGTTTCCCCCCACACACGGCGCAGTCGCTGGGCGGAATGCATGTCAGACATGTCTCGTGTATGTCCGATGGCGGGTTTAGTACTTTGGCCTGCAGTTTTCAAACGGTTGATAAGATCGGGGCGATTCCCAAGGCGGTGTATTGGATGCTTTTCCCCCTCCTCGAGAAGCCCAAGGGTGGGCTGAGCCCAGTGCAGCTGTGTGCTGCTCCCGTGCGCTTCTGGGGGAAGCTTCGTCGGCCTGTCGTCAATGCGGGGCGGGGAAGTCGGCGGAAAGCAGCATGTGGAACCAGGCGGTGAAGGCGGAAACCAATATCGCCGAAGGGGGTGCCACGGCGGGGTTCTCTTGGGACGGGTCCAAGTACTACGGAAATTTCGACCTGGCGGTCTTCAAAGAGCGGGGCCTCCGAGCAGGCCTTAACCCGATCGTGATCAAAGTTGCGTTTTAGCTTTTGGCGAGGCCCACGCATCCTTGGGCTCGAAGCGGACCACAATTTGGTGCCGCTGTATGCGGACTTGCCAGCAGGTTCCTGTTTCAACGATATGTTTGTGTGCGTGTACTCGCTGGAGCCTTTCGACGGCATCGTGCGCCGCAACCCTAAATGTGGAACTGGCGTCGCACATTGACGGCGACGCGGTTAGTTGCCACGGCGAGCCCGACGCGGTGCTTGATGCCCTATAGGGCGCTGCACAGGACTTGCACGCTGTCTTCGCCAAGGAGCTCGGGGTCAATCTAGCCCCAAATAAGTTGATGACTTTCGGCTCCAATGGTGGCATCGCCCGTCGCCTCGGGGAACGGCTTGGAATTCTGGCGGGCGACGCCGGCACCCGCGCGGTGTCCTCGGGGCGCGACCTGGCCCCCGGGGGGCCGCAGAGGGACTAAGGTTGCAATGGCAGCTTACCGCTAGGAACTGCAAACCAATTAAATCAATTTAAATAGTCTAAAAATATTATTCCCTCATTTTGTAAACGTTATGTTAGAATAGTCTAGACATAAGTTTTAAACATTGGTTTGCTGTTCCTAGCGGATGTTGCCATTGCAAGACTAAGGGTCACCTCAAAAAAGCGCGGAAAGCGGCTCGCGGATCTGTCCAGGCGGCATCGGGTCCTCCAGCGGTGTCGAAAGGCCCTCCCCAGCGAGAAAGCCAAGATCCGTAAGATCTACGCGGCGGGGGTCCAAGCGGCTGCCTGTCTCGGGGATGCCGTCGTCGGCATGGCGGGTGCTGAGCTTCAGCGAGGGCGAAGCGTGCTTCTGTCTTTCCAGGCCCCGCACCATGCGGGCGTCTCGACTGGGGCCAAGTTTGCGATCCATGGCGACCCCCTTCGGCGCAGCCTGGCGGCGCCAGCAGTTGCCTGGTCTCACGCGGTGCGGGGCGCCATCGCGGCGCCGCCGTTTGCCTTCTTCTGCTTGCCCCAGCTGTGTGCCATGTGGCGCGCCGTCGGCCAGAAAGGACTTACAGGGCAGTGTTTAATGGATGTGTGTTTTCAATGATGTTTCATACATGATGAATGTATGAATGAAATTATGCATGAACTCATCGTTGTTTTTAATACTGAATCCCTGCATGTTTTATACATGATCCGCCCGCGGAGCATGTATAAAAAAAACGGCACTGTACGTGGGATCAAAGCAGGGGCCCCATCAGCAGGATGTTCCTCTCCCTGGGTCGGATTGGGCGGTCGGCTTCCTCGCCCCTGGACTGGAGCGATGGCAGGGGTAACCAGCTTTCGCTTTTATATAACACCCCTCGATGATAGGGCGCCTCCTCCAGGCGGGGGTTCAGCGTTACCACGAAAGACGACTTGCGGTGAAGCTGGGTTGGGGCTCTGGTGCGAGGGCGCGCGTGGATCCGATCCGCAGGATAACCAAGCCTAGCACGCAGGGTATCGGTCTCGATGCGCGGGGCAAGTACCTGGTCAAAACGTGTTTTTGTGACGGGCTCTGGACCGAGGACAGAGCTAGAGCTACGGGACACATAACTGATGATAAGTGTCCTCTTTGCCAGGAGCCAG